CAATAAATACTTGATGAAATATTTAGCAAATCAATATTTGCCGAAGCACTGATTTATTATTTACTGCATCTCACTAAGTACCAAATCTGTCACAGGCCACAAAAATGGACTCTCTTGCTTACAGGTTTTTGTTTGTTTGTTTGTTTGTTTTTAAAGATTTTATTTATTTGAGAGAGAGAATGAGAGAGAGAGAGAGAGCATGAGAGGGGGGAAGGTCAGAGGGAGAAGCAGGCTCCTCGCCAGGCAGGGAGCCCAATGTGGGACTCGATCCAAGGACTCCAGGATTATGACCTGAGAGAAGGCAGTCGCTTAACCAACTGAGCCACCCAGGCGCCCTGCTTACAGGTTTTTTGAAGCAACTTCTCAGATTCTGCCTACCCAAAGTATTAAGAAAACAAGTATATTAGGGCAGACAATTTGAAATAGGTTCCAATATACTATAATATCTATCATTTATATGATTAGATTTTATGAGTATTTTAATTAAAATAACAGTGTAAGATTTGCACAAAGGACTATCTTTAATTATGGATACAATACTACCTATTTCAAAACTTTGGGGGGAAATAAAACTACAGGAGGTAGCTTTGAAGGCAGTAAGAACACTCTTAAAAAAATTTTTAAAAATCATAAATTAAAATATGTAACACCTACCTCCCATAGTTTGAGGTTTATGATTATAGTCCCTGAAATATACAAAACAAATCTTTTCGTTGAGTAATCTGATCCCTACAACATAAGAGACTTAACTTGTGCTATTTGGCATGGAGAAGAGGGATTATTTTATTGTTTTCTTTGTAAACAAAGTATTACAAAGCAAAACTGTCTTCCATGCAATATTAAGAAAAAGGATATAACTGGGGCGCCTGCGTGGCTCAGTCATTAAGCATCTGCCTTCGGCTCAGGTCATGATCCCAGGGTCCTGGGATCGAGTCCCACATCGGGCTCCCTGCTCAGCGGGAAGCCTGCTTCTCCCTCTCCCACTCCCCCTGCTTGTGTTCCTGCTCTCGCTGTCTCTCTCTGTCAAATAAATAAAAAAAATTTTAAAAAAAAAAAAAAAAGAAAAAGGATATAACTGTATTCAGTTTTCTACGGCTTCATTCCTTGCCTCATTTTCTGTTCTGATCCTTGTTTATTTTCATTCACCTGTTTCTAATTTACATTATCTTGCTGTGTTTTTTAAACATGTATAAATTGCCGTAAGTTCTTCCTGGAACAAGATGGGTATAAATAAATGTCCTGTGAACAAAGTATAATTATAATGGAAGTTACACATGACATTTTCGTTTTAATGGATTTGGAAACAGGTAAGATTAATCTGACATTTATAACTTCACATCATTTACAGATCTCTGAGAATCCTCCAGAGTAGACTGTCTGAATTTAAAAAATAGTTACTGCAGTAGGCCGAATAATGACCTCCAAAGGTAGCAGGTCCCAATCCTTGGGACCGTAAATGTTACTTTATATGGGAAAGGGGTCTTTGCAGATGTGATTATTTAAGGATCTTGGGATATGGAGATTATCCTGGATTATTCAGATGAGCTCTAAATGAAACCACAAGCATTCTTATAAAAGACAGAGAGAGATCTGATAGACAGAGAAGGCAATGTGACCCCCAAGGCAGAGACTGCAGTGATGTGGACAAGGAATGCCGGCAGCCACAAGAAGCTGGGAGAGGCAAGGAATCAGTTAATTCTTAGAGCCTCCAGAGGAGCAAAGCCCTGCTGACTGTTCAATTGTGGTCCAGTGACAGTGCTTTTGGGCTTGCAGCCTTCAGAACTGTAAGGATAAATTTCTGTTGTTTTAAGCCACCAAATTTGTAGTAATTTGCTACAGCAGTCATAGGAAACTAATACAATTATTTTTTTAAATTATTTTTAGAGGGGGGAGGGGCAGAGGGAGAGGGAGAGAGTCTTAAGCAGGCTCTGCACCAAGAATGGAGCCCTCCTCTGGCTTGATCTCACAACCCTGAGATCATGACCCGAGCCGAAATCAAGAGTTGGAGGCTAAAGCGACTGAGTCATGCAGGTGCCCCAAAACTAATACAATTATTGATCTAAATATATACAAGTGTTAAGTGGAGAGAAAATTTTCCTTTTAACATTAAAGACACTAGGAAAGACAAAAACAAAGTTATTTCCTAGAGTAATGAAATCTTCAAAGGTAATTTAAAAAGATCAGGAATTTTTATTTCAAGGGATTGCCATATTATTCACGAAAATGCTACATTCCTAACCAAAGTCTCTCTCTAATATATCAATTTTATTAATGCAAAATTCTCTAGTATCAGGAAAGCAACTGGGAATGTTGGCCTCCTGTAGGCTTTTCATTCCACACTGTTCTCCAGCTCCTTCTCATCAAATCATTCTGTGCATAATCCCACCTCTATATTTTCTGTTCTGTTGGCTTCCCAGAATGTCTTCTTATTTTGCTGGAAGTAATCTATTATTTTATAAAGTCAGGTTATATATTTGCAGAATTTCACTTATGGAAGAGTTTAAAAGACCCTGCTGCTGCATTTACTGAGCTATGCATACAAACCATGTTTAAGCACCTACGGTTCTCCTGGAAAGTAAAAGGGAACATCCCAGCGGCATTGCCTAATTCATCTCACTCAATTTTGCTTGTTTCTAGATCAAGAGGCAACAAAATAAGCCATCCCCACTCGAGATAATTCTAAAATAAACCGTGCCGATGATAGAAACTTGCACTTAAGAAACCAGAGGAGTCTTTTAGAATCTAAGAGGCAATTCATTTGGCCAGAAACATGTGTCAAGGGGTAAGAAGATTTTCCTATTTATCTAAACTATAAACATTTTATGAAAAGTCTTCTTAGAGAACTTAATAGGTCTGCTGCTTAAATGACCAAAAAAAAGTCTGAAAATGAAGAACTCCAAGAACTGGGAAAATGAGGATTTAAGAGGCAAATATCATCCATCTGGTTGTAAAAGTATAATGTTAGAGTCATCCTTGATACCATCATCCTACATACCCATTCCAGAGTTAGCTGATTTTTTTTCCTAAGTAGTTCTTAAATCTGTTCATTTCTCTCCTCCCGGCTGACCATCACCCTAGTCCAAATCTTCCGAAGACAACTTCACTTGCCCTTTAAGGTGGGCTCCCCACCCACTCAGATTCCACCCACTCATGAGGGGGAGGGAAGCGTGGCAAAGGGGGTAGGGGGACATAAATGGGGACTTCAGTTTTCTTTTTCCTCTGAAAGTGGCAGGCCTTGAATGGGACCAGCACTCACTGCATGCGCTCTGCTACTCACCCTCTACTTGATGTTACAAGGAATTCACATGCTCTGCCCGTTTCCTCTCTGGAGAATGGGAATGAGAACACTACCTCATGGGACTGTTGTGAAGTGAGTCAACAAGTGGAAAGCACAAACAGAAACACAGTAAACAATCTTCACTATTTTGATTATCACCTACTAGGCCAGACTTTCAGGCTCTCACTGGAGCTATGTGGCCCTCTTTTAGATCACTAACACAGCTGCGATTTTACACTTCATTTATCAGTAACTATCAAATTACTGTCTGTTACTTCCTCTACTATAAATGTCATGAAGCCAAAATCAAGTCTGTGCTTGCTCCCCCTAGCACAGTACTTGGCAAAAGGAAAGCACTGGAATATTTGTTAAGTAAATCTCGCAAGTAAAGCAAACCAGTGACACTGACGGTTCCGACCTATAGTTTAGCTGTCTTCAGAATTCAGATGAGTCTTACTCTCCGATGTCAATGAATAACCAATTACTTGGGAAGCTTTCAAATATACCCATGCCCACGCCCCCGAGATTCCACTTTGATTGATCTGGGATCGGTCAGTATTTAACACTGCAAATAATTCTAATCTGCAAGGCAGGTTGGAAAGCTCTAGTGTTGTTCCCACCTGCTTCAGGTCAGGAGGGAAGGCCTTCAACCCAACCGCTGCCTTTGAATCTGATCAACAACCCCCACTCTTGGTTGAATTCTCCTTTCCTAATTAGATAATGGGGAATAAAAAATACTGGAAGCAGCAGCTTTATGGGCAGGATCTTGGCTGATGGAACACACCAGGATGGTTCCTACTGTTCAGACAACTGTAATCCTGGCAGCAAACCTGTTGGGTGGCTTCAGCCCAGGCCCAAGCACCCACCAAATCGCTCTCATTCAGGAAAGGGTCTTGAACCTCTTCTTACCTTTATTTTTTAATTTTTTAAATTTTTTTAATGGGCACAATTCCATACGGACTCCCTACCCCTGGTCCGAGTGTGACCCCAAGACACGAGGCTGCCCTTGGTGACGCCGCCGCCACGGGCTCCTACAGCAGGCGACCCCGGTAGCGGGGAGCGAGGCGGCCAGAGCGCGGCCGGCGACCCTGCGCGCCCCGCCCGGGGGAGGGAGAGGTCTCTCCCTGCCCTGGGAAACCGGGACACACGCGTCTATCGCTGGAGATCCCCGGGCGGGTAACGCTCTCTTGCCTCGGAAGGCAAGTCCCGGCTCCGCAAGCCCCTGGCGCAGCCGGGGGTCCCGGGTCTCCGCGGAGCCACCACCCCCGCGCGCGCCGCCCAGCCCGAACTTGGGACCGGACGCCAGCCCACTGCTCAGGCCTTGAGGAGCCGCGTTCCCTCCCTGTTCCCCCAATGGCCAGGGGAACGCCTCGCGGATTCCGGACCCAGCACAACAGGTCCTTCGGACACCCGCGAGGTTGGGAAAGCGCGCGGGGGGGTGGCGGGGAAGGGGGGAGTCTGGCTGGGAAAAGAAGTCGAGCGTTCTGTGGGCGCATTTCCAGCGGAGGGACCTCCCCACTTAGCATCTTCACTGGCCCCAGCCACACAGCAAATCCTGAGTTTGGGGAGCAGGGATTATCCCGCAGGCGCGGGTAGGAGCCGAGTTGCGGCCGTGTGCAGATGGCACCCATCCGCTCCGTCCGAGAGCAAAGTTACGCGGTGCCGGGAAAGCGCCTCTCTGCGCGCCAGGACGCGACCCTCAGGGCGACGGGCGACCACTCACCTTGCGCCTGCGCCTCCATGGTGGCCGACTTCGGACTCCGCGCGGCGGGGCTCCCAGGCGCTTCCAGAGAAGCAGGCGGCGGTGCCCGAGTTCGGGACGCAGCTGGCCCCGCCGCCCGCGTCCGCCCTCCCCCTGCGCACTTGTCGCGAGCGCTGCGTGGAAGGGGTGGGGGGCCGGGGGCCGCCCGCACTGCTGCTGTGGTTAGCTCCGCGGCGTCCAGCGCACCTGGCCCGCACCACGCGGGGAAGGAGCCCGCCGCTGGGCGCCACCTGCCGGCCGCTCTGCGCATGGCGCCGGGGGCGCCCACTCGGGGCTCCGGGCGCCTGCTCAGGCCCTACAAGCGCCTGACCCAGCCGAAGCGGGCCCTCCAGCGCGGGGGCCCCAGGGCAAATCCCCAGGGAGAGAAGGCGGAGGGTGGATTTACAATACTGAACCCTAGCTCCCGGGGGAAATACGGAGTTTGGATCCTGTGATCCCCTGCACTCAACATTTTTGTCAAATGATCAATGTATAACCTTGTTTTATGTGGGTTTCTGTTTAAAGATACCTTATTTATGTATTGTTGACTCATGAACTTTGAGCTCAGGGCCATCATCATTAGAGCTGACACCTGAGTGAAACCTAGTAAGCTTATTTAACTGAACAACATTTCATGGGAACCATTTTAAATATCAAAATCACCCCCCTTCCCCCAAAAGCACAAAAACGGTGTATCTGTAGTCTGTGAAAAGGGCACTTGTTTACCGTCTGAGAGCTGAAACAAGGTAGAGCTTAGCCTTGTCTGACCTCAGCTAGAAAGGCATGCAGCCTGCCCGCCCAAGTTTTTCGGGGCTCTGCCCAAGTCTGGAATGACCGCGAAAGCCCTGCATTGATTTTGCTGTCACAAACAAATTTTAATAATGAGGCAAATTCACAGATATGGAGTCCTCAAATAATAAGCATCAACTGTGGGTATATTTTCTAATTTGGAACCCATAAGCCATTCCTGTAGGTTGATGAAGCAGTCACATTTTCAGAGAAAAGACTAGAAACTGACAGTTTTGTTCCAAGCCTGGCTTGGCAGGGTGACTAGAAAGCATAGCAGAGAAGAAAAACCAGCTCATGTCTCACCTTTTCAGGTCTTTAGCCCTTACACATCTCTTTCTCTTCACATCTACACATTCTCCATCTGTAAAATGAGAGATAGTATTTATTTACATTTGCTCTTGAATGGTTTGTTATTATTTTTTTCAGGTTTTTTTTTTTCTCCTTAAAATAGATGTTAAAGTCTGTCAGGGTCAAGTATGTGTCCTTTATCAACCCCCCCACCATTTCTTGCCAAAAAGCCTTATAAAAATTCATAGCTCAAAAAAGATTTATTGGGGGTGCCTGGGTGGCTCAGGTAGTTAAGCGTCTGACTCGATTTCAGCTCAGGTCATGATCTCAGGGTTGTGAGACTGAGCCCTGAGTGGGTTCTGTGCTGAGTGTGGAGCCTGCTTAAGATTCTCTCTCTCCCGGGGCGCCTGGGTGGCTCAGTGGGTTAAATGTCTGCCTTCAGCTCAGGTCATGATCTCAGGGTCCTGGGATTGAGTCCTGCATCAGGCTTGCTACTCAGCCAGCTTCTCCCTCTCCTTATGCCCCTCCCCCCCACACACTCATTCTCTCTCTTTCTCTCAAATAAATAAAATTAAAAAAAAAAAAAGATTCTCTCTCTCCCTCTTCCCCCTTTCTCACTCTTGCTCTCTCAGTCACTCTCCCCCTCTCTTAAAAAAAAGATTTATCGAATAAGCAACTAACCAGTAGGTTCTATTTCATCCTCAATCAAGTTACTGTCAAAGTACAGACTAATAAACATTAATAGAGTCTTACATTTTCGCTTGAAAAAAGATACACCTATGATTTTATGGCACATGTATAAACACGTCAGTGTTTTTGTTATGTTAAAATGCCCCTGATTTGTAATTATGGACATAAAAATTGCCCTACGGAACACCAAGCACAGGGCTTTTATGTGGCTTCTGGTGATAGGGACCGTGGATGCACCAAGTAATGAATCAGCATCACTAACTAGATCACTTTCAGGGTCTATCCAATTGTTCTGGTCCTCTCTACCCTGGAAATTAAGCACCAGGGTAGGTTTGACTTCCAGCTGTCAAAAGGAGCTAAAAAGAATTCATGACTTTCCAGCTTGGGTCATCTAACCTTTATCTAAGTTGTGACTCATTTTTCTGATGTACAAAATTTTAAGCTACTACCCCCCTTAATGTCCTTTACCATTTTTATAATAATAAAATATTGACAGTCATTCAGAAATATTAATTGAGTATATTCTCTGTGCCAGGGACTGTGCCAGAGGCTAAGGATACAGGTCAAGGGCATGATCCTTCTTCCCCAGGGAGTTCACGGTCTGCTGAAAAGGAGAGAGAAGCCGATACTTTATAAGGAAGTGCAGTGTGGTAAGGGCAAAGGAAGGCCTCCTAACTCAGACCCGGGAGGAGATAAAGGAAGGTTTCCGTGAGGATGTTTGCCTCAGCGGAGTATTGGAGGAAGAAAGAATTAACGGGGTAGGCTGTGCTGGCCCCCAAGTTATGGCTTAGCTATGGAAAACTATGTTTTTCCCTTCCATTTCCTTGTCACTTATGATGGTGATTTTCCTTAACTTCCTTAAAGCTTAGTAAAGCAGCCGTCCTGACCCTCTTCTTCATCTCTGGCAGGTCTTCCACAGGGAACACAATGGGTGGGTGTTTGATTAAGTCAGTGAAATCCTGGTTTGCCCCTCCTGAATTGATCTTGTTGCTGATGCAGTGGGAACCTTAAATGTCCAAAGGGAAGCTGTATTCAACAGTCCTTGCCTGAACCAGTTCAGGGTCACTTGTTACATAAAAACATCAAAAACTAATGATGTAATGTATGGTGATTAACATAACATAATAAAAAAATTAAATCGCAGTCTCTAAGACACATTGAAAATGTATTCGTTTTCTATGATCTTAATGCAGGGCTTGTCAACCTCGGCATTGCTGACATTTCTTTGTTGTGTTGGAGGATGTAGAAGAGCATCCTTGGCCTCTCCTCACTAGCTGCCAATAGCAACTCCTCAGTGGTGACTATCAAAACTGTCTCCAGACAATGCCAAGTGTCTCTTGAGGGCAAAGTCACCCCCGGATGAGAACCACAACTCTCACTATCTCTTGAAGATGCAGAATCATCATGAGTAAAAGTTATTACCCTGTGTACTATAGTGAGGCCTACAGCATAAGGATGCCCCCTGAGCTTCATCAGCAAGGGGATTTTTGCCCCTCATTTCTACGTGGAAATGTCTTGCCTCTTTCCATTGTCATCAATCATTCCTAATTTACTGCCTAAACAGTCCAAGAAAGGACTAAGAGGGGCTTTACCTTATTCCTAAAGAGACCGGAGAGCAAGAGAAGGATGAATGAATGATGTGGCTATTGGTCTATAACTCATACACTGTATGAGGAAAGTGCTGGAAGTTTTTTCCGTTTTTGAGGTTAAACTATTCCATTATCGGTTCTGCCTAAGGATACACTTGACCGTAGAGTGACAGTGTTCTGAGCCCAAACTCTTTTCTTGAGAGAAAGGCATCAAAGATGATTGGGAAGCACTGGGAACTGAAGGCCCGTCTAAGTGATTGGGAATCACTTAGACGGGCCTTCAGGTTAGAACGAGACCATCAGACACAAGGAATCTGAGATGGTGGAAAGAAGCCTAGGCCTGCATCAATCATTTTGTGATTAGCATTTGGCTTTCTTCAGTTCCAGAACCTAGAGTTTGCAAAATTGGCTCTTTTCAGGCTGTTTGCATTTCTTTTGTTTATCTTTTGGAATTTTTTTTTTTTCTGCTTAGTGTTTATTGTTTCCTTTCAAAAATGTTCAACTCTTTCAGTAGCACTAAGGAAAGAAAGAAAAGGCACATGTTGTCAACAGGGCTAGACCAGCACAGAACACGGCAGGGGTGATGGAAACAAGAGAACTCCAAGAGAGACGCACCAAGGGACAGAAAGAAAAGATGAAGGCCTCTACCACACAGTCAATTCTCTCACTCCTCGGTTTGCTCGTTCTTTAGAGGATTTTTGACTTATTTATTCAAAGGTGCAATTTCCTTACAGCTCGTTGCTGATTGGAGGGTTCTCGTGGTTAGCAGCTGTGTTTCCAGAGGCTGCCCTTGTCAGAGCTTGACCTCTAGATAAATGGATATTACCACACCATTCTCATAAAACAAAAACAGAAAGTCAGGTGTTATCCAATTCTTTTTCAGACACAATGTACACGTCCGGCTCCATTGTTTATGAGTGACATTGAAAAATTAGAGAAAGGTTAAGTAGAACATCACAAAGATTATTGATAAGGTCGTTAGGGATAGTGCAAGGAGCCAGAGGGCTCATTCATTTTGGTAAGCAGGAGTCTAGGTGATATCTTGACAGCACACACATCCATTGTCCATGGTTACGGGATAGATCACAAGCAACACTGTAAAAGGCAAAGGACTGTTTAGTGGCCACGACAGACTGCAAAGTGACTTACACTCTGAATGAATCTAAACTGGGTCTTAAATAAATATGATGGACGAAACAAATAGATCATAACTAACTGTGCTGGAAGTCAATGACGACCTACCAACGTAAGTTGTGTTACACCAGCTTATGTCCAATTCAAGGACCTGGCTTGGTAGGTATGTATGTCTCAAGTAAGCCCCAGTCAGAAAGCTCTGTGAGGGATGTGAATAAGTGAATAATATTAATATTTGTTTTGCGATCTATAACATGGAATGAAATGATTTAAATTTGAATTTGAGAAAGGGCATATTGCCCAACATTCCCACATATTTGTGGAAGAAGGAAAAAATAAACCCATAATTAATAATTATTCAAAAGGATCATTTTGGAACACTATAAACTTCAATTCTTCATATATTCCAATATTTTAATATTTAATATTCCACTATTGAAACTTTTCAGTGAAGGCTAGCAGGGAAAATGCACTCATAGAATTGTGCAGAGAAAAACATTTTCATGAGATTTCTCTTAGAAGTTCTTATTTTTTGGTAGTCATTCCTCTTATCTGTGAGGGGAAACCTACTTCTCTAGAGAACTTTCCTGCAATAAATTGAAGCAAATTATATGGGAAAAATTAGTAAGTCAAACACATCCCATGGGATATTAAATCATAACTAACTCAGGAATTACCTATATTTTACCTTCACTAATTCCCAATCA